TTGAGGATGTTCACCTTTGTTTTTCTGTATTTCTGTAAGATGAGTTTTTGTTCCTCGTGGGAGAAATGCGGCGCTCTCCCTTCTGCACTCATGATTGTATTTGGTCTGCTAGCTTGAACCTGCCCCCTTATATGTACACATTCACAGATTCTTGATCAGTTCAGGCTGGATTGAGTTAGCGAGTTGATAACCAGCTTTGTGGTACAGCTGATCCTGAATGCCATTGTTGAAGATGGTTAAACTGGATAGACTGGAAGTATTCCTGCTGCATTGAGCTCAGATCATGGTACGGGCCTCAGGTTTCCTTAAAGTCAAACTTGTGTTCTCAGATCGACTAAAAGACAAAGGGCAAGTGTTCTGTGGTTACATGAGTCCGTAGCCCCATTTACACTCCCCTCTGAAAAAAGATCTGTGCCAAGTTCGCACTGAGCTTGGTTCCTTACCACCGTTTACAGGGCACGCTAACATTCAGGAAGTTTGGTTATAATTGTGATATTTCGTTGTTTGCGGAGAGTCGGGTGAAGAAGGCAGCCTTTGGTGAATTTATTTGACAGAGTCAGCTTTTGGGAAGTGGATACGACAAACGATAGTCTAATCAGGGCTTACAGACGCTGGAAACAACAACAGACATTGAGGTTCATCACACTGCTAAGCAGAATCATCACTGAAAATCATGTGGCATGGTAGGGAAGCTAGTATTTTTATGAATGTCTGAAATTACGGAGGCTGACTGTAAGGAGATAATGGGGTCTGCTCATGCTCTCTTTATTATCTGAGAACTGAGCCAGAACTGAACCCGCGCTGAGACCTATTGTTAAGCTAGAACCAGTTTAGTGCGGTTTGGTTGTGTCTGGCACTGTCCGGTTCAGTTTTTTGTGCCATTTACACTCAACAGTTATCTCAGTTACCATGCTCTGATCGATCTCGGCACAGGTTAAAAAAGGTAGTGTAAATGGGGCTCATGTTTCAGCTTGCTTCTTGCGAATAACAAGCACACTTTGTATGCCTGTGCCCGCACTTCCTATTGATCTTCTGTCAGAATGGGTGTAAAATGAGACCAGAGATAGACTGATGGCTACAGTGTGTACTACAGCTGCTGTTGGTGTTTCCAGGTCACATAAGTAGAAATAGAACCAAAGATGACCATTTCCTTTAAACTTTTCTAAATGTGTTGATGGCATCAAGTTCCTTCCTAACATACCTTTCACAAAGATGCTGCTATCTGATTGTCCAAATGTAGCCTCAGTTCTCTAATTTATTTTGAACCCTCTTCACCTGCATAATTTGATGTCATCATTTTGCTCATCCTTTTTTTTTCTTTTTTTTTTTTCTTAGGATGGATCTGCAGAAATGCTAATGCGCAAGACGTCCTGTTTGTTCTCTGCTTCTCTAGAACTCTCACCGATTCAGTTAATCTACAGTCAAGAAGCTAATCTAAACTCACAGTTTTAGAGCTAATTTTGTGACATTTCCGTTTCCTTCTTCATGTGAGATGACAAGATACCTAAAGCTAAATCCAAAGTGTAGATTGTTTTTATGTTTTATGTCTGTGCTTATAGTGTGTTGTATTTTCTATTGTTTTGTTTATAAAATAAATAAATCCTTCTAACTTCTTTCAAAGAATTTGTGAAATTGTCAGCATATTGGTCCTCATCGGCCCCAGTAACTTCATTAGTAATTATAGTATGAAGTATTAAAATTTGAAATGTGTTAATTGCTGTTTCCATTATGTGTACTTGTGTGTTTAATGTGCTTGTGAAACGTCATCAGCCGCAGCCCGAGCACTGTTCCAATTCACAAGAACAGAAGACTGAAAACGGACAAAGTCCCCGGAATGTGTTCTCATCCCTCTGTCCTTATGGAGCATCAGAGCAGACTTGTCAGTTCTAGAGATTGACAGCTGTCCCAGCATGCACCACAGTAACAGCAGCTTCCAGTGAAGTATCAAGTTAAAAGTTCTCTTTTCTGTTGCAGTTCTGTAAAAGTACGTTTTAAGATCGTTTGAGATGAGAGCGTTATCTGACTGTTAATCACTATTCCCTGACTAAATGAAAAAAATGAATAATTTATTATCTAAAATAACAGGAGGTGAAATGCAGCTCCAGACAAGCCAGCGTGTTGTGACATCATGCGTACACTTCTGTTCCAATTTACCCACATGTATGAGTCTGTATTGGTGTTCTTGTGAATTGAGAAACAGCCATGTAGGGAATTTCAGCATCACTTTGGTGAAAATCTTTCTTAGTTTTTTTTAATATAGTTTTAATAAAGATATATTGGTTTGGTCAACTTTAACTTTTCTTAATTTAACCTGAAACAAAAATGCAACCTTTGAGATTTTCTCTTTTGTCCTGTTATGAATCTCAAATTATGAATGAATACATAAGGCTTTGGTAGCAGAAAAGCAGAAGAAAGGAATAAGGCTTTTTGTTCAAAATCCAAAAGTTGCTGTGCCACCCAACAGAATTTTAAAGTGGTACGTTATAGTCAGTTACGCCTTCAAGCACTTGACACTTGCACTTCAACGAACTCTTTGAAGATAATGAGGTCCTGGTGACTATTTTTATTCAGATCATCCCTCTATACATACGACAAAACCAAGACTTTTCCTTAATAATTTTTTACTGATTCTCCCCTAAACAAAAAAGCTAAAAGTTTCTGTAGATTCATCCAGAGGCTTTAACACTGTGTATCTGATAGATATGTGTTAAGATTACAGCACCTTACAAAAACGGTGTATACTTTTTTGTGTCATGGAAAGATCTCCCAAACATTCAGTAACATTTGTAACATCCCTGCAGCAGTAACAGCAGCGTGTCCAGACTGTGGGCAAATTCAGCTATGCAGAATGGCCTAATCAGGACACTGTTTACAAACCTAGCCACACATGTTCTGTTGGATTTAGGTCTGAACCTAAACTGGGTTTATTAAACCTACTACAATATCTTGATCTGAAATGTATAAATATTTTTTTTTTTTTATGGTGAAAATTTTTCTGCCAGCACAAAGTTCCCAAGACACCAGAAGTTGAAGGGTGTAAATACCATAATAGGGTGGAGTATGCTCACCCACACATTACCCTTTTATTTAGTCAACAAAGTCCCAGCAGCAATAATCCAAACTTGTGACCAATCCTCGTGGACTAAATGTTGCTGAGTTGTTTACCTTTTAAGTCTTGAAGCACCCCTCAAATTTAATCAGGGCTAAAAGTTTATCAGTCCTCATTCTGCAGCCCGCTGATAATGAACGGATATTTCTTTTGTCATGCTGATCACCAATGATCAAGAAGTCAATACTCAAACTGATGACATTGAATGGGGGCGGAAACTGTATATTTTTCAGTAAGTTGCTACTAGAAAACAAGGAATTTTCTAAATTGTGTTCACAAACTTTAATGCGCACTGGAGACTCTCTCCAAACATGCTTTGCTTCATGATGTAGTGTTTATCCTTTCTGAATGACCGACGGAAACCTGAGCTGCTCATGTTATCAATTGTACTGGATTAGCGGGGAAGATGTAGAGCGAAGCGCATGTTTGCAACCAATCAGAAGTCAGTGCGCCCCGTGATTTCAAAATAAGTTCAACTGGGTGCAGAAACATTCAATCATCAGTTTTCTTTACCTCTGGGAAGTCCCTTTTGTACAGCTGTCTATATTTATGATGTCGCATATATTAAATTTGTTTTAGTTTGAACTTACTTGTATATTATTACTAAAATATTTTTAGTACTGGGGGAGGGCTACTTTATACGAATTTACTTACAAAAGTTTGCAATATTTTGTTTGACTATTTTAGTTCAACGTCAAGAAAACAAATCCAAACTGTCAAAAATAAAAAATAAAAAACAATAATCTCTAGTTCCAGCTTATTTATTTAGGAGGATGCAGACAGATTCTCACTGTTCATATGAAACTGGATGCCTCCAAACGCAATCCCACCCGACTTCCCAGTTTTAGTGGGCAGTCCTAACACTGTTCTTTAAATTACGCAGAGCGCAAATCAGTCTATCAATTCTCAGTGACCTTCTTTCATGCACAGGTCATTGTGATTGCGTTTAAATGTTCCTATTTGATCATGTGAGCGATCTGCCTCTAGGATGTAGGCCATCATCTACTATTGTTTAATAGTGTGAACTGACCATCTCCTCTTTCAACACAACTCCTGGAGACCTGCCAGCGAAAAGACTGAGAAAAGGTGTGATGCCAGTTGGACTGAGACACGGGATTTACACTATACTTGCCTGCCTGTTATGTGGTGTAACTTTACATTTGGGTTCTTGTTTAGACAATGAATGGTTGGCATGAGTGCCAATAAGAGATCAACCAGTTTCTTAGAAACACATGAGTGTTTCGACAAGGTAGACGGTAGGGATCAGTTTGGCTGTAATTTAATCCCTCATTTGATGTGACTCAGCGGGTTTATGAGACGGACATATATTTGCGCTCTGGGGTTTGGCCCACTGGCTGACACTGGCATCTAACAGGTCCATTCTCGGAGAGGCTGCACACTGGAGCTTGTGCGTAACCACTGAGCCGGACCTCCAAGATCGAGTTTATGTTTGGCATCCTTCGTATCCGCCTGATTCAACGCACTGTGGAAACGCGCCTGGTCTCCCTCTAATGCACTTATAGCGCACAAAACTTTGCTTCCCCCCCCGGCTTCTCACACCGTTGCAGTTTTGCACATTTAACTCGTAGATTTTGGAGCACAGCGGCCTCAACACTATGTCCCCGAACAAGTATTGCCAAAGCTCCTCTTCCTCCTCATCCTCCAGCTCCATCCGGGACAAAAAGATATTTGCCAAACTAAAGCTCAACCTTTCTGGAGACTATCCAAGGAAGAACGCGGAGCTGCTCAGCGCTCAGTATGGGATCAACCTGCTGCTGATCGGGGTGGCGCTGATGCTGGCCATTGCGCACCATCACCCCTCCGTTAAAGAGAAGGACCTGCTGTCCTTCACCACCGGCCTCATGATACTGCAACTGATCTGGATGATGTGGTATATCCTGGTGCGGTACAGCCAGAAGAACGCACGGACAGAGAGGGATGTCAACGCCACTACATGCTGGATAAGAGGTGAGATGGAAGAGAAAACAAGGAAGGATGCTGAACAAGCTTAGTCATAAGATCTTTAGGAGAGTAAGCGCATATCTATCTATCT